GAGATGGCTGCGGCCGGCAATTGACATACAGCGGTAGTCATTCAGACTCGGGAAAACGTGTATTTTGTCGCTAATTTGCCGAATTTGGTCGTGATGGTGGTTTGAATAGATTAGCACTTAACTGTATTCAGTTTTTGTGTTGTTTTTTCTAAGGTAAATGATTGATTACTGTTTAAATTCGAATAATTGTAATGCTATGACGTCACTCTGGTGTCCTCCCTTCTCGAACTTCGTTCTCGACAAGGGGCTTTCGCGCTCAGTCGACAAGCCCCTGTGGCTGAAACCACATTTAACGACGGCGCGCGTGTTTGACGTCAAAATGGCGTATGATCGCTGTTAGCATAGACGTTACAAACATACAACTCTGTTCGGCTTTGAACACGTTTGTCATTTAAGATAAAGTAAATCTTTAAGGAACAGTATTTGTTATTGACGAACAACCAAAAATCAAAACACTATTCTATGAGCGACGACCATTACACAAGTTTACGTCGCTTCGTCGCTTGAGGGCGCGCTTTCTAGGAAAGGCGTATTGCTCATCGCATAGACAATCTCATTGCCAGCACATGTGTACTCGCTTATTTTTGACGATAATATTGCCGACTATGTAATGTCACAAATTCATATTTGAAATATGTAATGAGTGTCAACGTCTAATATTAAATAATAACACATTGCCTGTCGTTCACAGTATGTCACGAATGGCCGACTTCAATAGAACTGTGCTGTTTCCGAATAATACAGATTCGTGTTCGCCTAAAAAGAGGGAAGAGCTGTTTGAATTCTGGTTTGTTTTAAGTTTCATACCATCGGTAAGATATTTATTTGATACAGAATCTAGCAAAAACTGTTTCCAGTTATGGGTAGTGTTATGTATATCGGGTCGTAAATGCGTTGTAAACCGGTAGTAATTTGATTTTAAGTTCGGATAATACAAGTAAGGGATGATTTACAGTTTCCAGTCAACCATTTCCACTAAAAATGCGCCTTCAGCTGATGTAACATATCTTTGCTTCATATTTTACCATACCAGGGATTCTTTTTCCTCGTATTCATATTTCTCCAAAGAAGAAAACGGGCCTGTCTTCAATGTTGTAAAGGGGTTCCAGGTATAGCCTAGTAAGTATGTGTGCTGCTGTCTCAACTCATTTAAAATCATTGTTAATAAAAACAATATGCTTATTTATATATGTTGTTAAATCGTGCTAATTAACACTGAAATTTGTATGTATTTTTCTTTCCTCCGTTACATCTCTGCGCAGTCCTGTCAATGTTATAGACGCCCAGCCTGACCGACTGGGTTATGCGTGTGCGTTCGGCGCAACGACGGTGTGTGTTCTGGGTCTATTCAGTGGTAGTTATCTTTTCGATTATGATCTATCACAGGTACATGTTGCCTTGAGAGGTAAGTAGATTGACTGGTCTTAATGCGTTATATGGTTTATTAAATACTTTTGCAAACAACGCAACGAATAGTTATATATATTTTTTAATTAAAGTGATTGCATTATTTTATTATACAATATTTTATTTTATGTCAGGTACCATCCTCATCGTACTTAAAATGATCAATGTGATATTTATCGGGCTTGTATACTTGCCAATGTTTCTATCACTCACCACTGACATTCGTATCATTGGAAATTGTATTGGAATAATATACACGGGAGGCTGGTGAGTATGGAGCGTCCAAATGTTAGTAACAATGTCTCGAATTAACGAACATTAGAAATACGTTGTTTCATTTACAAGAAATTCGAATGCTTTTTGCAGTTGCACCATCCACAACTACTCTGATCACTAGATATTTGTCAAACTGGGGAATGTGTTCACGAGTTAGATAAAGCATATATTAATTGTAAAAATATTCACACAACGTTTTTTTTTTTCAGGACAGTATTCTATCTTTATGATTTTATAAAGTGTCAGGGAAAATATGAGGTAAGTCAACGACTATTAAGTGAGTTTACCCACTTTTTTCTCAGGTTAAACTATTTTATTTTACACAGCTGTTGATGACGTAACTTATATTTTGTTCCAGGAAATAGACCTGGTAGTGGTGTTAGTGAGAGGGCCAAATATTCTCTGCTTATTGATATTATCAGTCCGTTATTTATTGGGTTTCATTCAAAATGTAGGATCGCTTGTTTGCAATAAGGTGAGTATTTTGCTTAAGGTAGCTAGTTAGGTAGGTTTTTTTTGCATGGAAAACATCTATAATCGGAATAAATTTTACAAGAAAC